CCCGGGGGGGGGGGGGAAGGGTTTTATTGGTACAAAAAAATGGGGGGAAATGGCCCAGACTAACTGACCCCATCATGGACCTTGGGCATAAGAACTTGGTGAGAGCTGAGGAGATAAGGAGAAAGGCTATAATCTTTACAGTGCAGTTCAGTGCAATATTAGTTTTCTGGGATTTGGTCGGGGTGTGGAGGGGAGAAAGATGAGGCTGGTTTTTAATGTAGGAATAGGGGAAACAAAACCTAAGGGCATTGATGCTTAATTTCATTTTATAGACTTCGTGAAAGTGTTGTAAAGTCGTCAGCTTCTAACAATTTTTAAATTTTTATTATACAAGATCCATTTTATCTCATTGTGGAGGTCATCACCATAGCAAATTATGCATATTTAAGCAAATTATACCCAATTCTCCCCTCTCCCAAACAGCCAGGTCTAAACCCTAAGAAATCTAGCAGAAGAGTAGCACTCCCTTCAGAATTTCCTTACCGTCAAATTTCTAGAGATGCAAAACATTCACTATTGCTTTGGTCACAGAGGTATATTTTTAATGATTTGATATTTCTTTGCATTTGACTTATTTCCTGAGGAAGTAGAAGTAAAAGTAAATGAAGAAGTCAAAAGACATCTAGATTAGCTTTTTGGAAGTTTGCACCTTGATAAAAAGTAGATGATAAAGCAAAGAAACCTGCATATGGTGGGATCTCTTCTGATAAGTAGCCTCAATGTAATTATCCTCATAGTATATTAAGGTCAGAAGGTTGGCATCAATCAACACCAAATATACCAATTTGACAATAGCCACATAATAAGGGGAGATTCGGACCTTGGTATATCACACTGAGCAAGAGATAATCTTGCAGATTTTAAAATTATTAAATACGGGTCTAGATTAAGATTGATATATTATGTCCTTTGTAGAGCTGGCCAGCTAAATGACCATAAGGCAAGGACCCTTGAGAGAGGTCAGGCTTGCTGTGCAAACTTGGATTTAAAGAAAGCGGTAGAAGCTTATTTGGTATTTTTTTAATTAGATATTATTTTTAAACCTAAAATAGTAAGCAAGAGTGAAAGCTAGGGAAGCAGGAGAGGAGGGGAAGGAATTGTATAACCTTTTTTGCATAATACACTAAAGTTAGAGACATAAAGAGACCCAACATAGTAATCAGAGAATGACAGGTCAGCTATATTTAATAGGTTGCTGTAATTTTTCTTTCTGATTTACCACTGAATAAATATTTCCTATAGATGACAAAACAAAAAAGAAAGTACAGAGATTTGTGGTTTGTGCTTACTTTTGAAAACACAATTGCAAAGCCTTGTGTGTGTGTGTGTGTGTGTGCACGCATATGTATGTATTTTCACCTTGCCTGCAAGCAATACCTGGATCTCCTCTCTCTCTATATATATATATATGTACATATATATATATATATATATATATAGGCATATAAGGAGAAAAAATTAAGATGTATATATATGTATATATACATGTACATGTATACATGTATACATGTATATGTATATATGCATGTATATATACATATGTATATATATATGTATACATATATATATATATACTATACTATATACATATATACATCTTAATTATTTCTCCTTGTATTCCCATGTCACTCAGTCCTTGGGACTGGAAACTATTTCTTCATCTCCAAATCTGGCACGTCTTTCACTATGATAGTCCCCTTTGCCTTCTGTGCCCAGTATGGTAATGACACTCCTCATGGCTGTGGCCTTGGTATTTGACACTGCCATGTGTAGTCCTAATCTATATTGGGGTCAGGAGTAGACAGGCCGACAGGATAGTAGTGGCAGAGGTGATCTGAAATAGCACATGATCCAAAAACTATATTTGAATTACATTAGGTTTATATTTAAATATAACTGTCAGCTTTCCCAGTCTTCCACCACCCAGACCAAGCCTGTCTTCCACACTCAGTCCTGAGAACTTTCCTACTTTACAAGAACCTTAGCCCCCTGTTTTGAAGCAGTTTTACCTTCTAGTCCACAAATATTGAAACATTCAGCATGTCTTCCATTATGTATTTCAGAGCATCACCTCAGTATGACACTGTATTTCAATCTATTTTCTCAGTCTCCCCACCGGCCCCCGCCACTTTCTAGAGCAGTTTATATTACTGCACAAGAATAATGCACAAGAATCATTTGGGGGGATCTTGGGACCCATCCCCAGAAATTCTGATTTCATAATTCGATGGTAGGGATAAGGAATCTATATTTTAAACATGATTCCCCAAGTCTATACAGTCCATAGTATGAGAAACATTGGTCTTGAGGAAGAGGTTTTCCTTTCTAAATGTTCCATTTGGATTGTGAAGCCCATTCGTCTATCTCTGTAACACTCTCTCTGGCACTTGCTGTGCTACATATGTCATTTTCAGGTTTTCTCTTCATAAACTTTTCATAAAATCTCTACTTCTAATATTTAAAACAAAAGAAGAAAAGTCTTTGCTAGTCCTTCTAGGTGTTGTGCAATCTTTTCCCTTTCTTTAGCTGTCTAATGGCTTGTGTTCCCTAGTTTGTTTGTTTTTTTTTTACTACCCTGAATCTAAAGCTCTTTACTATTCATACTGACCACTTATCAGTTCCCTTTTGTTCTTAATTTCTGCTATATTTGTTTCTGTTGATCAGCCTCTGCTTTTGAGCCTCCTCCATGACCAGTGAACACTGCCTTCTAGTGGCTCTTTTTCTTCCTGTTACCCCCAACCCCCTATCCTTAATAAAATTATCCATCAAGGTGCTAATTGTGCCCCCTCTCCTGGAATTCAGACGACAGAAACAACTCCTGAAAATGTGGGGTTTCAGGTAGCAACCAGACCAAGACCTTTAAATTGCCGGAGATATTTTAGATACATAGAAAATATAACAAAGTGTAAAGGATTTGCCTAGTATTTTATGGTTCAAAAATATTTTAAGACTAGAATTTTCATAATTTCTTTTGAGAAAAGCTTTTGCAAACTCTAGGGTTTCTTTTTGAGCGACAATTTTTTAACCAAAAAGAACACCAATGCATATTAAACCATCAAATAATTCCCAAATTATTGTAGCAATCATAGATACAAAGACCTTCTTCTGCTGGTTCCCTTTTCTCAGAGTGGCAGGGCAGAGAAGAGGACCAAGTAATTATGGAGATCCCTGTGATGTTGACTTTTTAATGTCATAGATACCAATAAAAAGGTTCTCTTTCAATGTTTACTTCCTCGGGAGCCTGGAATAGACTTTCTGTACCATTCAGTGGAAAATCTAATATAAGAAATTGAGTAATGGTACCCTACTAATTAGCATAGTTTCTCACCTCTTTTTTCCCCCAGTTTGATAATTATTTAGTCTTGAAAGATACTATAGTGGAGATGGGAAACAGAAATATTACATGAAATTAAGTAAAAAAGTACTCTTAGTATAGATGAATACTAAGTTGAGCTGCTTTTAAGAACAGAAGAAAGAGTTTTGTAACATTCTTTTTAAAAATATGAGCATGAGGGGGAGCCTGGGTGGCTCAGCTGGTTAATCTTCAGAGTTCGGCTCAGGTCATGATCTCGTGGTTTCGCAGTTTGTGAATTGGAGCCCCACATTGGGCTCTGTGCTGACAGCTCAGAGCCTGGAGACTGCTTCAGATTCTGTGTCTCCCTCTCTCTCTGCCTCTCCCCCACTTGTGCTCTCTCTCTCTCTCTCAAAAATAAACATTAAAATATTTTTTTAAATATGAGCATGAGGAGAATTAAAATGTTTTGGTCATTTATGAGCAGAAAACATTTCCAAACAACATGAATACAGATAAAATAGGACCCCCAAGAATTCTACAGGTATTTTATTATCCCAATCCATTTCTTTGCTTTTTTTGAATAATTATATACCTGAGTTCAAATATGAGTATAAATAATACATTTATTATGCTTTTGAAGGCTAGAAAAAAGCTTAAAGATATTTAGGACTTTTGTGCTCAAAGATTCAGAAGTAAAGTTTTTCAGGTAATACAGTAATTCTCTAATATGTGGTATTTTTCCAGCTAAAATGTATCTTTAACTATAACAAAGAATGGATTACCAAGAGGAAACAACTAACACATTTGATTCTTTTGACAGATGGCCAGAGGTTGTTCCTCCAGAATTAATAATGTCTAATATAAATCCCTCAGTAATATCCTTCAGAGAAATATGCTAATGTGATGAAGTCTTTAAGCCAAACCTTCACAACTCCTTTGTTGGCTATCTTATTTTCCCATTAAACTTTCAATGAGTTATAACAACAATGACATGCTGAATATCAAGGCCACTATAACAATCTATTTTTACTTCTCTTAAATTCACAAAATTATCATTTTAAATAACTTATATTTTCATTGAGAGTATGTTACCTGTACTATTTGGTTATAATAATAGAGTGCATATTGTGACATTGATTTTGATGATGACTTTAAGAAAGTAGGCTGCTGTTTTCTCTAACAATGGTCATATCAAATCCAATCAGGATTTTAGAACATTATAACCTGTTTTTTTACTATATAATTTTAAAGCTAGGAAATCACCTAACATAAAACCTTCATTTTATATATGTGAAAACTGAGTCCCAGAAAGAGTAAATATCTTACTCAGAGTCCTATAGTTAATTAACGGCAGAGCTGGGGCTAAAACTCCAGTATCCTGACTCTGTCCAGTTGAATACTTATTGACTGAAGTAATCCTAGAACTGTGTCAATTTACTATGACACTATTGATAGATTACACAAATATCATGACAGTTTTAAGAAGTCCATTGTTGCAGTCATAATACATTGCATATCCTCAATAATTTTTCCGTTTAGTTCGCATTTGTCACAATGATAAAAATGTTTTCTAACAGGGTTAAGCAAAGTTTGTGTTTACAAAATGTGCTTTCTATATAAAGCATGTGAATGTCTAAGGATTTGCCAGCGATCCTACCACTTTGTGTATAAACTGGTGTCTACTCATACCTCATTTAGGTTTTGCTAATATAGCAAATTAAGCTGCTAGAATAAAAGTTTAAGTAGTGATAAAATTTAAGAAACCATGTTTTGTAGTGAACAAGAAAGGGATATCCATAGTAAAGTTAAGGAAGCAATGTTTAAGAATGAATATGGAAATCTTAGGAATCTGTCCATAAACATGTTTATTTTGTCTTCTATGATGCCACATTCAGGATTAAGACACAGAAAATGTCAGCAGGGAACGTGTGCCATAAAAAGATACTCAGCTGATGCAAAAATTAGCTTAAAAATAAAGAACACCCCCTCAACTGTCTAGTTAAAAAAAAAACTGCTCTTAATACCATGCTCTTATTTTGCTATTCATCTATAGTTTTTAGTCTGATTCTATTGATTTAGCATTATTCAAGGAGCCATACATATTCTTTCTGGGTGTAGCACTAAAGATTATTTATTTACTTATTTACTTTATTGAAGTATAATTAACATATAGTATTATATTAGTTTCAGATGTGCAATACAATGATTCAACAATTCTATACATTACTCAGTGCTCATCACAATCAATTTTATCTATTTCGCCCATTGGCCTGCCCCCCCCCCATACCTCCCCTGTGACAACCATCAGTTTGTTCTCTGTATTTAAGTCTGGTTTTTTGTTTGCCTCTTTTTTTCCTTTGTTGATTTGTTTTGTTTCCAAAGTTGCACATGTGAGTAATATCATATGGTATTTTTCTTTCTCTGACTTATTTCACTTAGGATGATACACTCTGGATTCATTCATGTTGTTGCAAATAGCAAGATCTCATTCTTTTTCATGGCTGAGTAATATACCATTGTATATATACCACATTTTGTGTTATTCATATTTAGAGGTGGTATTCTTTCCCAAGAATTACCATTACGTAAATAAACTACCCAGAATTTGTATCCAATTTCTACTTATCGTTGCTGTGTGCTAAAGTTTCTGCCTAACACTCAGAAAATGAATATTAAAACAGTATGTCAACTGAAGGTAGATAAATTTATTTCTATTTTAATAATTTCTCTAATTGCATTAGGAATATACTTCAACTAGACATAATTGTATGCATTTTACAGGTTTGTGATAATTCATTATACAACTGCTTAAGATTCATGTCATTGTTTCTTTTCTATAAATGATTATACTCTGTCCAGGAAAATTGTGACATGTTTATTCTTTTGGTAAATGACACCATGTTCTTCCCATGGAAATTCTAAGGGAGCAAGGAAGATTGGAAATACAATTCTAGATAGTTGAATACTTGTCTATTTTTCCAAGAAGATTGATATATTTTGTTCTACATTTTTGCAGGATCCAACTGGGATATTCTCACTGGATAAAACCATTGGCTTTGGTACTTATGGCAGGATCTATCTGGTAAGTGGAGTTAGATTCTGTATTGGTTATTCATTTTCTATAACAACAATGATTGCAAGTCAAAGCCCTACACTGCAAAGCAAATAATGACAAAAGCATTTCACTTTGAGAGATGAATCAAATTAAGATAGCTCAGTGATATCTGTGAGAATTATTACAAAATAAATGGATTGAAAATCTACAGTGAATGAACTTACCAACCAAAGGTCTAAAAATTATTAGCATACCATTAATAAAATCAACAGAAAAAATAATTAATTCAAATAAGAAGTACCCAAATAAAAATATCATTTGTTTTATGTTATACATCCATAGCATTCTAATTACTCACATTCAACTTTTAAACTGAATGTTACAAAAACAAACATTTCCACAGCATTCTACATCATACTGTGTGTCTGTGTGTGCACATGTGTGTAACAGAGTTAGCCAAATAATCTAACAAGAAAAACTCTGCATTTATTTAATGATTATTTATCAAGCACAAAGTATGTGCCAGGCACTGTAATAGTCCCTGTAGATAAAGTGATTTAAGGGTTGGGAGAGGACATTTTTACATATTTTAAGCACACAAATAACTGTTTATTTGCAATTATATTCCTTGTGTGGTTGTTGAGGATGATGTTGATGCATTTTAGGTAAAGGCAGGGACACTGTTAAGGGCTGGCTTGGAGGGGGGCTTACTTTAATGGTCCCATCACCTTGATCAGGTGCCCTTCCCTCACTAACATGGGAAATAGGCATTTTCTCAGTCTTTTATGAAGTTCTGTACAAATGTAGTAGTGTTCCTTTTCCCTAGGCCTTTCCCTCAAAAACCAAATCACTATCACTAGGCTGATCCTTATTGTAGACTGACCACAGGTCCTCTACATATGGATTATATAGAGGTATCCTGGTATAAGTCCAGTGGAAGAGGCTTCATTGTAGTTCAGACAGAGTTGCCCTCTGCTTGCCAAGCCTGTTACCTTTAGGCTACATCTTCCTAGAAGGAGATTTTTTTAAAAAATCATGTACCCAAGTTGGGATAGGGAAGATCTTTAAAATTTGCACAAAAGTACCTATAGCATTGAAGTTGAGTAATAGAAGTAGCATTGTGGAAGGTTCCTAAAAGCAGAAGGTACCTTGGTGAATAAAGGGTAAATATTGGTAAATGCCAATAATTGTGACAAAAGTTTTTTCAAGCCATTTTGACTTTACCTATTAATGGAATCAATAAGGTATAGACAGTGATGTGATACAAACACAAGTATGCTGTTTATATCACTTCACTTGCATCTCAGACTGATTGATTAGTTAACAATTGTGTGATCTAGGTGAATTTTGCCACCATATGCATAGACACATACACCTATATGCGTGGAAGTTCTTCTTCACCTCTTTACAGCATATTTATAATCTTCATGACTCCATACTCATTTTAATTCTTGAAGGGTATGTATGTATGTATGTGTGTGTATGTGTGTAAGTGTGTGTAAGTGTATGCATGTGTTTAAATATGTGTGTATATTTGTTTTTATTTGAAAGAATAAAGCTCTCTCCACCACCAGATTTTGGGAATAAAAACGTCAGTCATATAAGGTAAAAGGCAAAGGTAAGGTTAGATAACACACAAAGATGGTTTCTCATCATCAGTCATCAGAACTGTGATGCCATATAAAGAAGAAAAGTCGAGGGTAAAAGGTGAGTTGTACATGGTAATTCCCTCTCTCTTTTTTTTTTTTTCAAACTATGGTTTATTGAGATGTAGTTTGAATTTGGTAAAATTTGCCCTTTTAAGTATACAATTCTAAGAGTTTGGACTAATACATTTCATCATGTAACTACCACCAGAATCAAGATTTTTCCAACATACATCTTAAAATACACAGTATACCTTTAAGTAATATTCTTCAAGTAACACTTCACTATGTGGTGTCCCAGCTTGTATAGTATGGTTATAGTTGTTACACATTTTTCTTTTTTTTAATTTTTTAATGTTTATTTTTATTTTTGAGAGAGACAGAGCATGAGTGGGGGAAGGACAGAGAGATAGAGGGAGACACAGAATCTGAAACAGGCTCCAGGCTCTGAGCTGTCATCACAGAGCCTGACGCGGAGCTCAAACTCAGGAACTGCAAGATCATGACCTAGGTCAAAGTTGGACGCTCAGCCAACTGAGGCACCCAGGCGCCCCATATTTTTCTTTTACGTGTGATATAAACCCACAATACTACTTCTCTGTTTCCCATACTCAATACTATTACTTTTTATTTAGTTACCTTTTAGAGCAATTAAAATGAAGAAAATATTTTTATTCATTTGAGCCATTTCTGGAATGTTAATTTCTTTGGAAAAATCCAAGTTTCTATTCTTAAGCATGAAGAATTTTCTATAATGTTTCTTATAGTGTTAGGCTTCTGGTAATGAATTATCTGCCTTTATTTATGTGAAAATCCCTCATTTCTTCATTTTTGAAATATATTTTCATTGGATATAGAATGTTATGTTGACAATTTTTCTTTCAGCAGTTTAACGATAATCAGTCTATTGTCTTCTGGCTTTCATAATTTCTGAAGTGTGTCATTTCTATCTTTGCTTCTTTGTATTTTTCTTCTTGCTAATTTTAAGACTTTTCTCTTTAACTTTTTCAGTGGTTTAAATATGAAATGTAGGGGTTTTTTTTGTTTTGTGTGTGTGTAAGCATGTGTGTCTTCAGTGGACTATCATCCTTGGGGTTCTCTGAACTTCTTGAACATGTAATTTGACGTATTGTAATTACCCCAATTGTAATTTGGGTGAAATTCCTGACCTTTATCTCTTCAAATATTTTTATTTTGCTTTCTTCTGTTTCTTCTCCTTGTGGAAAACCAATCTTATATTTGTTAGGCCATTTGATATTAACATACAGCTCTTGGATGCTCTATTTTGTTTCTTATGTGTGTTTGTATGTGTTCATGTTTATTTGCTCTTATTCTCTTTTCTCTTTGTGTTGCACTTTGGATCAATTTTTTTCCTATCTTCAGTTTCACTTCTTACTTTCTCAACTTTTTTGTATCAACTGATAAGACTATCAAAGGCATTTTTTATTTCTTTTACTGTTTTTCATTTCTAGCATTTTCACTTGACTTTTTTATAGTTGACATCTTTGCTGAAATCTCCATTTGTTCATGCATGTTTTCCATATGTTTCATTAAAACATTTCACATATTAATTATAGTTATGTTAAATTTTTTGTCCACACTTTGAATATCCAAGTCATCTCTAAGGATGGTATATTGATTACTTTGTCTCTTGAGAGTGAACTGTGTTTGTTTGTTTGTTTGTTTGTTTCTCAAAATGTTTGTTTGAATGCCAGACATCATATGTAGAATAGTAGAGATTGAAATAAATAGTAATTATGCCTTGAAATGGGCACGCTTGTTCTTCTAAGTCATTAATATGGGAGGTTGAGTCAGTCTTTTAAGATGGGCTATATGGGTTATGTTGTTGCTATGGTTACCCTCAGTTCACCTCCAGCTTCAAGTTCTAATGTTACTTTGTGCTTACATGGTGGTAGGGTTCTCAGTATTCCTGTGATACCCTCAGCTTTAGACCTTCCTTGTGCATCTGTGTCTCAAAGAGATTCTCTCTTCATGCTCCTGTGCTTCCCCTAATGTATGCTGGCATTGCTTCTTATTAAGTGTTTGTTAGCCTGACGGTGTGGGACAGGGAGGAGTTCTCTGCTTTTTTTAATTCAGCCTCAGCCTTAGACAGCTCCTATGCCTCCGGATTATGGGAGTAGGTTTTTCTTTTTTTTTTTTTTTTTAGCTATTCTTTCCCTGTGCTAGTCGTAGCATACTTCTTAATGGTCTGAGCTCAAGACTAAATCCTGACCAGAAGTAGAGAAATTATTATTTTACATTATCCCCAGCTTCAGTGGGTTTTCATTTATATACCCTGGGGGGAACAGAGTTTGCTGCCCTTCCCCTGAAGTTTAAGGCTCTTATTCCTAAAGGAGAAAGGAGTTGGACATGGTTTCATGTTTTTCCTACTGCAGTGGCTTCTGCTCTCTCCCAGGTCAGTACCATACATAAAATCCATGGAGAAAAGCCTGTGAGTGTGTATAAGTTCCTCTTATATCTATGGCTCCCGAGGGTATTGTACTCTCATGCTAGCCCATACTTGGCCTTTAGCAGTTCATTAAAAATTTAGCTGAATTCTTTATACCACCTTCTGTGGTGACGTTGCATTTCCCCTGCAGCCACAGGTGAGCCAGTGCTAACGTTCCATCTCTCCTTGAATCATCTTTCATCAGACTTCAGGCTAGTTGGTTTCCTTAAGTCTTATCTCTAGGCTCAATAAAAGTTATGATTTTCTAGGATATTCAGCTTTTTCTTCTTGCTAGGGTGGGGGTGGCACTCTTTCCTGCTTTCCACATTCTTATCAGGAGCCAGAAGTCCATGTCAATTCCTTTAACTGAATCTGCATGAAACATCTACCATATGCTAAATCCTGTACATATTTTATATGTACCTATTCAGATCCAGAGATAGAAAAAACTTTTCACCATCATATCTTTAAAGCAGAAACCTCGATGTTACAGAAAGTAGATGATTACACATGGTTTACTTACATTAGACGGATTTTCCTTTGTCACTCATTGATGTGACCTCTTTTTTTCTATCTCAAATTAATTTCCTTCTGAAAAAGTCTTGGGATGGTGTTACTGTAAACTAATACCTCCTTCATGGAATATAATCTTGAGTATGTAGGAAACTCTTTTAAAAGGTTCATACACTTTATGCCAATAATCTCACTTTTGGAAATCAATGATAAACACCAAAAATGTATAAAAAGCATAAATATTTATTTTAGCAGAAAGATAGCATATGTAGTGAAAGTGGGGCCTGCTTTGGAACCAGGCAGACCTGATTCAGTGCTTGTTTGGCCATTAATTAGCAATGACCTTGAGCAAGTCACTTAACCTCTGAGTATACATTTCCTTATTTATAAAATGGAGCTAATAATACCTAACTTCCAAG